AAGGGCCTAGGCCCAAAATGTCAGCCTTCCTGCTCCTCTGATGCTGCTTGGCCTGCTGTGTTCATCCAGCTCTACACCTTGTTATCTGCAAATTATCAAGCAGTCAAAGTTTCAGTTGGAAAGTTCACTTGAGAATTGACCATTTAGATCTTAGATTAAAAGAAACCCCACCACCGTTTTGTTTAAGAAAACCTTCACTTCCTAAATTATTGAATCCATTCAAGAAACATCAGGTGTGCTATGTGGGAGACTAGAAATTATAAATCAGGAGAGATCTAATTGACTGCAATCAGTAAAAGTCCATTATCTTTATGTATAGCCAATCAGTGCATATGCATGTGTCTGTGCACACATGCAAGATGTTAATTCAGGGTAAATATGAGTGTAAATAACTTTGAAACACCCAAAAACTTGCTGCTGCATTACTTAATTGGAATGCAGTCTGAGGGTAAGAACAGATGCAGCTCTTTTCATACAACCGTACTAATTATGGGCAACAGGAATACGCAGCTTTTTCCTTCTTGTGATACTAGTAAGCATCATTTGCCTTACTGGAGTGAAAATGTGGCGTTGGTCTCTCTCTCTCCTACACTGCTTTGTGGCAGCACCAATATATTAAGCATTGTGGAAACAAGGCAATTAACTGGTATCTGAATGAATGACTAAATGGATTAAATGGCTTATTCATTTCCATGTCAAAATTTTCATTTATTTTATGCATACTTATATGTTCTCCCTGGCCCATATGACCAGTCAGCCTTTCATTTTGCCTTGGGATTTGAATTCTAACCCATTCCTTCAGTTTTTCATATACCACATTGATTAAATAGACAAAGTCATATTTACTAGAATGTTGCCAGGGCTGGAGAATTGTAGCTACAAGGAGAGATTGGAGTTGTTTCCTTGGAACAACAAGGCTGGGGGATGATAAGATTTGAGGTATACAAAATTGTGAGCAGTAGAGATAGAGTAAACAGGAGGAACCTGTTTCCCTTGGCAGAGACTTCAAAAACCAGGGATCATAAATTCAAGCTAAATGACAGAAGGATTAGCAGGGAAGTGGGGAAAAATGTTTTTTACGCAGAGTGGTGGGTGTATGGAATTTGCTGCCTGAGTTGGTGGTGGAGGCAGACAGCATAAACTCTTTTCAAAAAAGTAGCTGGAACTGCGCTGTAAGTACTGTAACCTGCAGGGCTATGGGCCGTGTGCAGGAAGATGGGATTAGAAAGGACATATGTGGGTGTCTTTTGGGTTGGCAAGATGGGCCAAATGGCCCACTTCTGTGCTGTATAATTTCTATGGTTCTATAAGGTTTGTGCAGTTGTTATTCCCAAACTATATCATAGCAACTCTGTTCGTGCACCTGGAAAGGCTACAACTCTTGCTATTCCAGTTCAAGCCTGTTGTGATCTCTTGATCGAATTCTAGGAGCTCATAGGAAGTTTGTGAGATTGAGATGACCAGTTGTGATTTTTCTTTTTTAAAAGAAGAATCCCTTTGCAAACACTTGATTTATGGAAAAGTAGGAATAATGGGATGATGGAATAAAATATTAGGAAATTTTGATTGCTGATGTTACTAAGCATTTGAGTGCTTCCACTACTTACATTTTGTAGGTTATATTGTTTAGAATTGATAAAAGATGGCAGATGACATAAAATTTAGGTGATAAAGAGCAGCGTATGAATTTTCTGAAACATACCTGGAGAGTCCTCCTTATTGGGTAGCTGTGACTCTACATCCGGGTATTGCAAATCCTGCCTATTACACAATATGCAAAATCTCTAAAATTGTTTGATGTGAAATGTTTGATTTACTGTCAATGTAAATACAAAACATCAGTGAAAACTGAGGAGGCAACAGATGAGTAAGTTAGAAGGGCAACATTTTGTTCTTGTAATATGAATGAAGCTGAACAATTTTACTGTCAGGTAAGTATGTTGTTGCCTGTCAATGTCAATTTGATTTAAAATTCCTGTAGTTGTTGTCATGATTCCTGATCTTGAATATCAAACAGGCTTTATGCCAGTTACCTATTTACTTTGCAGATGAATACATATTACATTAAGATATTGATTTAATTAAGGTACACTATAGATTATGTAAATTGGGTACTCTTGAACATGAGCAAAGTTTGAAGTTAATGAATTTTGCTTTGTAATTTTACCAGATATATGTTCTGCATGAGGTATAAAGTCACCTAACATTGTTTGTTTGCCCACAGTGAGACCTATTACACCACAATGTACTGTGCCGAAATCCGTGCCAGTGGGGAAGACTGCAGTTTTGACATGTAATGAGAATGAAGGCTATCCACCATCCAAATATATTTGGTACAGAAATGGTGACCCTGTTCCAGATGATCCAAAATCCAATTCAAAGTTTCATAATTCTTCATATAAAATAGACTCCAATGCAGGAACTCTGGTAATAATTCAGTGTTTTATAGCACCAATACTAACCCTGTAATGGGTCTAATATATCACCTGTCAAATGTGAGATACTGCAGAGTTGTTTGTTCATTGCATGAAACCTGGCCTTGCATATTAGGCAAACTAATACACTTGCCATTGACTTCTTTCCTCCGAAGATCCCAGTTGATCTTTAAAATGTAATTAACCTAGCCATGTGCATTTACACTGCCATGATGATCCATTATCTTGGTGAGTTGCATAGCAATATACGAAATATAGATTTCATGTAGCAGCAGTTACTTAGAATTTTGAATACTGGGCCATGCCTAAGGTTGTCAACTGTAGATCTATTCTGAAGTTCTGAGGAAGGGTCACCAGACCCGAAAAGTTGACTTTGACTTTTCTTCACAGATGATGCCAGACCTGCTCAGCTTTTCCAGCAACTTCTGTTTGTATTTGTGATAGATCCATTCCTGCAAGCTTCATTACATGACCCAATATTGCAAGTTAAGCCACCAAGTCAAAAACCATTTAGACTAATGCATGCAAAATGTTCAAAGCAAGTTAGAACCTGTTATTTTTAATAACGCTGTGATTTTCTTGAGAGTTGATCACAGTAGTATTCAGGGAATTAATTGTTGATTCCAAGGCAGACTTAAATCTGACATCAAATATCAAACTAGCTTAATGTTATCCATATGAAGCACAATCCAAATGATACTTCAGTTCAAATCTTAAAGTTTCTAACTTTTAAAATGATTGATTCCCAACCAACATTTCCAAGGGTGGTGTATTATGACTGCATCTTTTTATTAAACATTTATATTGCTTAGTCTTACACTCTGCAATTGATAGGGGACATGTTTCAATGTTTCAAAATGGTTATGGAGTTGGATGAAACTCTTTGGAAATTGTAGACTACCTCATGCCACAATAGGAAGTTACTTTGTGACATTAACTTGGCAAAATTAAATAGAAAATGCTGACTTAACAATTTACAGTGGCAGAGAAAAAGGTATTTACTTTTGACATATTTGATGGGGTTTCTGGAGATAAGCATTCCAGTACAAGCTTTTCAATACTACATTAGAAATGCAGTATTTTTTCAAAAAATTTGGACAAACATCAGTGTTACAGCACAGTCATGGGTTCTCAATCGTGATAATTCAGTTGAAGTAGCGTAGTCTGCTGTGGTATTGAGGCCAAATGCCACCTCCAGAGAAAGGAAGGAAACTTTGAGAGGGTCAAAACATACCTCTCTTTACATTTTAAAAAAAAAGAACTGTGGATGCTGTAAATCGAGAACAAAAACAGAAGTTGCTGGAAAAGCTCAGCAGGTCCAGCAGCTTTTGTGAAGAAAAAGTCAGGGTTAATGTTTCAGGTCTGCTGACGCTTCCTCGGAACTCATTCTATTAGTTTGCCTCGGGGTCTCTTAGCTCAAGTGATTGTTAGCACAATGTCAAGAACACATTGGCTTTGTTTCTGGTTTCTGTACCTTTTTGTACTGCTTATGCTTGCACAAGGATTTATTTTTAATCTCGTCTACACGCTGCCGCTCCCTGATATAATTCAAAGGTAAAGTTTTTTTTTTTTGTTTTCACATGTATAATGAAATACCACTTCTGATGACCCCTCTGCTGTAGCCAAATTATCAGACTGCTTATATAATATTCAATATAGATGAACGTAAATTTGATCCAATTAGATATTGGGAAAACTGAATCATTATTCTCCAATCCTGCTTCAAACCCTATTCACTAGTTGGTGATTCCGTTCTTCTTCCTGACACCAATCTAAGATCAAGCCAGTCTGTTTGCAATTTCAGTATCACATTCAGTCCTGAGGTGAGCTACTGATGTAAGTCGAGCATCAGTATTAACATCTTGATATAACTTTCATCCTTGATTTTGAATCCCTCCCTACCTTGCTTGTCCCTATCTCAGCAATGCCCTCCAACCTCACAACTTTCCCACATATCTGCACATCTCTAATTCTGGCCTGGAGTGCGTTCCCAAATTTAATCACTCCTTTACCTTTGTTGCTGAGGCCCCAAGTTGTGGAAAATTCTAGCTACACTTAGTTATCTCTTTTTAAAATGCACTTAGAGAAGTACCTCATTCACAAGCTTTTAGTCATCTGACCCAATTCTCCTGATGTTTTAATGCTGTCGTAAAGTACTTTGGAATGCCTTGTTACACAGCATATAAGTACAAGTTGTCGAGCACTAGTTTTTTTTAAAATTGAAAATATTTTGCTTTGAAAAATAAGTTAAAAATAAATTGATAAATGGTTGATTTTACTTTTTCTAGCGCTTCACTGTCATCTCAAAACTGGATATTGGAGAATACCATTGTGTTGCGGAAAATGTTGTTGGAAATGCAAAGTGTGAACCTCAGCGCATGGAAGTTTGTATGTTGCCCTTTTTTTGGAATTCCCATTAACTTTGAATGTTGTTCAGTGTTTTTATCAGGCAATTAATTACATTTATTTTACAATTTTTCAGTAGTTTCTTTGCAACTTGGACATCAGCCTTATTTCATTAGTCATGCTGGGGGCTTAAATTTGACCAGGCTGACCTTGAGTACTAAGCTGTCAGGCTGCCCTCTTTCAAATTGAGTTAATTGAGACAAGATTTTGTCTGTCATCTTAAGTGGACATCAGACATCCCATAGTGTTATAAAAATGGCATCAAATAACAGTGCATAAAATTATTCAAATGTTGAAGATGGACTTGTGAATTAATTAACTTGGATTTGCCAATGAGTAGACTGTATACAAGCTCTGGTTGGAGTTCAAAAATATTGACTTGTGCTATTTATTCTGTTAAAATTGATGAACAGGTCACAACATTTTGTTTCAAAATGCATTGAAAATAATGTCTGTTTCTATTATGAAATCATCTTAGCCCTTGTAATGGTACTGATTGGCACCCCTAATATTAAAGACCCAGCATAGTAATTAATGGTGGTTTGAAATCAAGCTGCACAGCTTTTTAGTTTCCTCCATGGTTTGCATTTGTAAATATGCAGCTATATTACAAAGAAACCTGATTGCAGACAGTTAGTGAGTCTTAAGGTAAGTATTAAATATACATGCTATGAATTGTAATGACTTTTCACAATAAATGAATTGAAATCTATTGTAAAAAGCATTGAGGATTCAATTTCTCTTCCACTCCTTGCTTGTCATCAGGATACCTGTGAAGTGCCTTTGTTTTGCAAAAGGTTCTGTAAAAATATTGTTGCATAATATAACATTTCAGTTTATAAATACCACTGTTGGGTGATTTGCTGAATGAATAATGTGATATTCTTGTCATTCTCCAGATGATATTAATGTCGCTGCGATAATTGGTGGTGTTTTAGTTGTAGTTCTTGTTCTACTATTTATAACCATCGTCATCAGATTTGCATATAAACGAGGATACTTCACAAGTACGTAAGCAGCACCACTTTATAAAATTAAAGTAACCATCTTCTGAAAAATCATCTCATTCCAGCAGTCATTTGAAGGGTGCTTATTGCTGTAATGTGATTTTTAAACTAGTGTAAAATAGATATGTTATTGGAGAGATGCCTCAGTAGTAAGTAATCTTCCATCTAGAAAAGTCAACCTGGACATTTCATTCTAAAACAGTAGAAGATTAACGATAAGTATGTATACATCACAGATTATTGCTTAAATTTACTTTCAATTTCACTTGTAATCCAATGCTCATTCTATTGACAATGATCAGTCCTGTTAAGTACTGTTTTTTCTTCTTCTTCTTCCCAACAGAGAAACAATCTGAAAAGGGGTAAGTTACTAATTCTGGCAATCTATTTTTAACTCAATTAATAGCTATATACCTAAATGTAGTTTAGTCTTAACATTCAAGGGTAACTTGTAGAGCAATGGGTTGGCAATAGCTGTAACCATAACGATACAACACAGGCCATCTTTTAACCTTGATTCACAGATAGTAGAAACTGCCGATGCTGGAGAATCTGAGATAACAAGGTGTAGAGCTGGATGAACACAGCAGGCCAAGGAGC